CCATTCAACAAGTACATTGTTCAGTYGCTCAACAATGTCGGAAGCTGTTGGGTAATCCAACATATCTCGAGAGTGACTTTACTGCAATGATCATATTATAACTTTTTTGATATTTGCTTCCCATACCTCATCGTAAAAGATTTTAAGCTGCTTGTTTCCTTCTTCATAGATTTTTTCRGGAGATATATCAGTCGTCGTGAAGTATGGCAGTATAAGACGGTACGTATTCGTACCATTTAACACCTCCCCTGTGGGTAGCTTTTTGGTTGTTGGTTTATTTCGGTCCGGAACATCGTTTGTGTAGACGTAATCCACAGGAAGCCCACCAAGTCCACTWGCAACGTCATTGGGAAGGCAATGTGTCATGTGTTCATTTTCAAGATATTTGATTAAGTTGAGCATTGGCTGACCAAAGCCCTTTACCAAAGCGTCTTTTATGGACTCTGAAACGTTTTTACCACCGTGTTTACTTTTCCAGAGTTCGTCAACTCCGTCCTCTAACTTGGCAAAGTACGACTCTTTTTGGAAACCTTTAGTATACCACTCATTTAGAATGGCACGTGCGTCGTTTTCTGTGGACATCTTTGTGTAGATTTGCTTCAAAGCGTCGACGCCAGCTCGGCAGTCAATCTTGGTACGGATCATTCCTGTTGTTACACCAAGAGCAACGTTTTTCCTAAATAGGAATACTCATATTACAGTAGTTATAGCCTACAAATAAGCTGAGAAGGTACTAAGTGTCAACCTTCTCATTATCATCCTTTCCGCACTAACAATAGAAAACAACAAAAACAACAACAACAACGGGAGCCAGACTTCTTGATTATCTCCATTGATATAGCGATATATACAGACGGCGTTGATTATGTTATGAACAGAAATGACAACGACCATGACAGCAAGGTCGATAATGTGAAGTTTAACATAAGTCCCTGGCACGTCGTCATCTCACATTCTTACTTTGAAAGCCCKGGGGGAGGTACTACCTCCSCAACTTGKGYAAGGGTGTGYCYCRCGGACCTCRGAACCCTGACAGCCTGACCCAGTMCCAGACTAAAATTTCGATTTTGTCATACTCTACAACTGACAAAACTCAAGTATTCCCTGGCTCGTCTTGTGATCTCACGTTCTTACTTCGCAATGTGTCACAGAGACTACCATCCCGTGATCATTAGAAACGGTTATGAGCGAGTTCTACGTACCGATACTGGTCAATGGCTTGCTCGTGTTTTAAAATCTTGTCCACAGCTTTTTCRACGTCATCATACGTCACTAGTAACACGCTACTAAACGCATTGAGATCGTATTGCACCGAGCAAATCGGCATCCAGCAGAAGAGATTGGGACCCATCATCCAGTCACCAGCATAGTAGTTTTCATCGTACGGTACCGAGAATGTGTGCTGCAGAAAATGTTTTATCTGAAAAAGAAAATATTCAAGCTCATACTCAGTGTAACTTATGCTCCTTTTTTAATTAATTAAGAATTTTTTTAAGAAATGTTAATGATCTTAGCAGACTCAAAGAATAATTCAGAAGGAGATTTCATGTCAGGTAGATACAATATACAATGGCGTTGCAAGTTCACTTGAGTTCTCAGGGGCGGATCCAGCAATTTTCAAAAGGGAGGGGGGACATCGACAAAAATGCCTTGCTTCATCAAATTAATAATCTTCAGTTAAAAAAAATTGTTCTGCAAAAGGGGGTGCCAAGGCCCCTTCGGATCCCCTAAATCCGCCCCTGGTTCTGCTAAATTCATACGCCGTTCCGCGCCTAACAAAAATTGCGGAACTTATAAAATCTGTTGCACTGTGCACAATTTTAATGCCTGGTATCCATGTTGTCCCCAAACGGCCCAAAATCATCAAGGGAATTGACAACAATGCAAACCGCATTTTGTGACGATTTGGACGATTATGTGGACACTAGTCCTGTTGTATTGTAGTGTGATGTGATCTAGTTTGAGGTGCTGATCTGTTTTTTTTTTGCGATGAATGTGTTATATATATGATGGGATACCTGTGCCACTGCCTTTGCTTCCCTTGGTTTAAGGGCGTCGTTATCGATGTTCATGTCATTGATCTTCTTCAATAACTGAAGAGCTGMGTCTGTTTTTCTTTTAAGTGCCATGGGATCCGGATTATATGGCGAATACCTAAAAAAAATCATTCATCTAATACTTCCGTTCACGGATTAACACCAATATACATCATCTTATGATTTTAAAAATAAACTTCTGACAAGGACCGAAGGGCCGGAAAAAATTCCTGCAAAGTAAAATTGGCAACCGAGGATATTTGCAATTTTACCAAATYAAAAAAACTTCCTGCAACGATCAAATGATCAACTCCTCCTCCTAATATGGAAAATAAAAAAAGCAAAAAACATTCAAAAATGCAAGCCAAATAATGAAAAAGTAACCGAACGTGCACGATGAATGATTCCCTGGTCTCGGAGACACTTTCGGTACTTGAAAGGAGTTGTGAATTTTATAGCCAAGCAAAGGCTGAAGCCGGTAGCTATGCGTTTCGTCTGCCCTCCCATTTCATTTCCCGATTTCCTGCTATCAGTTTATTGACCAATTTTTTGTTGTTCTTTCTYATTATCAGTTTATCGTTTTCTTTTGTTCTTGCCCTGCTGAACAATATTTGATTTGTTCAACTCGATAACCCAAGGAACCCAAGTCTTGGTGACAACGAAAAACAAATAAAACAAACGACAAAATTTCGAAAATGCAAGAATATCAAAACTTTTGAGTACAAGACAGCACCTAACAAGAAACATTTGCATTCACAGGAAAGATTAGAACTAGTGTTGTATCGCAAACCGCATGACATATAACCGCAAGAGTGTAGACTCGTGCTCAAATTTACTCGACCCGATAATTGTATCAAACAGAGACGTGTCGAAAGGTATGAAATAAAAGGTCAAAAGTGCAGCAATAGTTGAGTAATGGGAAGATTAAATAACTTATCAACAAGGTACGTGTACGTGAWGAGAATTACAACAAACAGCCCCTTATACATTGGAATCTCTCTTGTTAGCTAGGGTAATCTTTAGAAATCGCTTTAGTGCTTTCAAAGTCACAAGAGCACTTCTTTAATTTCAAGTGTGAGGCCWATGTAATGTTAAGTAAACATGGGGACTCAAGATGAACTATTGAGATAAGCCTCTCGAGCGACTAAGAGTCAAGTTATTGAATTATGAAAATGAAATTGTATAGGTGATCGATTAGGTAATGTACTCCATTTTTGCCACAATTTACAGTACGATAGAGTACTGCTAACATAGTGCACACACTAAAGGCGTGAACAAATACTAACCAAATAGGCATAAAATAGTGACATGGTTCTARGTATGCACACATATGATATAGTGCTCTAGTCATGCGCGTCAGTCCAAAGGAATAAATTTAATCAACCAAAAATACATGGATTGATTTATTGATTTAGCTATGAACTAAGTTGCTTGACACACAAAACTCTGTAGGTAAACGCTATCACAGTATCAGGCAACTTAAAATTAAAATTACGCCCAGTACAACTATTTATCATCCGTTCCGTGCACTTACATAATAACATATATGCTTACCTATTCTTGATATGTTCGCGTATATCTGTGACTCCAGGCTGCCATGCCACATTGTCCGGATTCATTTCATAGTATTTGGATTGTGCTTCTTTGAGAAACCCTTCCAAATCGACTCTCTTGGCCTCTGGCGAAAACTCACATTGTGGGTTTACATTCTTTTGCGATTCGCTTTTCAAWGATGGGCATTGCTTGGTGCCTGGACCCATAAGGACTGCTCCAACAATGATACAAACGAGACCCACCACGCAGAGCAAGCATCCTACAACCAGGGCAGGTCGCAACCACCTCGGCGGAGAAGACTCAAAAAGAACAGAGGTGCTTGCTGAAGAAGGGTTTTCATTGGAATCCAAATCAACGCCTTTAGATTCACTGTACGCTACTTTCGCCATGTTGGTACGGTTGGTTCCATGCACACGGTCGACGACTCGACGTCAGTGAAGGGTGGAATGACAGCATGACGCTCCRTGCATTATTTCATACATCATATCATCATTGCTATGACAACKTGAGAGGMAGTGGATATTGAAGCGAGTTTATGTGAAAATCTGGATATTCAATACCCGGACAATTATTGTGTTCTAATGCAGGCCAGTCTCCCTTTGATAATAGTTCTGAAATAAACTGATAATGAGTTTATATTCAAAGATGGTGCTGGATGGAGTGGTTGCCATCAAGCGGCCCTTCGAAGCCTGCTAGAGTTTTATTTAATCTTCTTCTAAATCACTTTCCCAGGAGAAAAATCGTATGAGAACACTTAWTTAGAAGAACAGACCTGGTCGGCTCCTCCTGAAGGGGTCGTGACGACTCGAATGGAGAAGCTTCCTGTTTGRGAATTGAGAATCACCATACTTTTCTCATTGCTACGCCGAGTTTAGCTGACTTTCTTCACATGGTCAAAAACTATCTGGATGTAGAAGAAGTCGTGACGTTCTACCGGCTTGCATAWATGCATCTTTTCGGCTAAACAGTGAAAAAYGAGGAAACATGTGCTAACACGTGTAGGCCCTACCAATGACCAATGAGACCAAGCTGAGTATCAGGCCTAAAGCGCGCCAACTAATCTTTTCCGTGTTGTCGATATATCATGTCAGTCAACTGATTACATCATGAGAAACTTTAAAATTATTATTATTTAAATTGAATTAGTAAAAAAAAAGCTTTGTTATCCATATGTCAAATCGTTATATCATTTTATACATTATATATTATATGCGAAGTAAAATCATGAAACTTTCCACGAGAATTAATTATGCACTCTGTTCTATAGACTGCTATAGTATGCATAAGGGACACGTAAACGGCATGGAAATTTACAAAAAGGCRAAAGCTCCCAACTCCATCTCGAAAAGTAKCAGCGCCTTTGCATGAGAGCGAGGGTAGTCAAAGGAAGCCCAAAGGAGAGAAAAAGACAGAAATGGKRAAAAAAACTAGGAGTAGCCTGTGGAGGAGGCTGGGTTGCGCTAAGGTCATCCAGTGTCTCACTTTTATGCAGTTCAAAATGACCCTGGGGAACTGTGAGGAACGCAAGAACTGTGTTGACAGTTCATTTGGAAGTCAAAATGTTTCATCTATTCAGACCCATAAACAAATGACAGARTCGAGACATAACGTTTCAAAATTTTGAATGACAAAAAAGATATGTAATCGATAATAAAAATGAAATTCAATCAATGGCGATATCGTATTGATTCTATAAGATAATGTAGTATTATTTTTTCGCAATATCATAAAAATTGTATAWTAAAGTATCTTGGTGGTCCTGTAATAATTCCGATTATGCAGAGCATTTGTTCTCGGTTGCTATGGTTTCATATTAATGGCAATGTCTTACAAGGGTGATTACAATACCTATATAACCATTCTATGACTCTTTCATGTACTGAAAGCTGTCGAAGACGCACAAAAATCCTTGGCTTAGGACTCTTGTTTTCAAATACCCCTGGACGAAGTGACAGACTTTCTGTTGTTTCTGTATATTCTGTGGACTCAGTGTTGTGACTTGACATGCTTTGCTGATATAATTGTTCGTCTTGATAGCAATAAAAATCATTATCCTTCACGACTGTGCTTAYCGGATCACTTACTATAAGTCCACCAGGGCTTGTGACMACCATTCGTGTTGGTTTACCTTTATAAAAACAAACTCCTTTCTCGTGCTCGGTCTGTTTAAGCGCTTTCTCCACGCGGTAACTTATTCTCTTGGGAGTGAATAAAAGACCAAAATCCACTACATTTGGTGTTTGAAAAGCTTCTTTGCTTGCKGMTGGTGTTGTTTTAGGTCGAAGACGACTCTTGGGCTCACTTTCTCGTAAAGATAGCAATGGCGTCCTTGTGTAAGCACTTTGTTTCATTGCACAATCGCCGTTTTCAAACGAATTGAAGTCTTTGAAAACCCTGTYGTTATGGCTCCAGCATCTAGCGGAATTTGACCTAAAAGTCAACATTGTTGTCATTTCTCGATATCGCTGCCACTCAAATTATAGTCAATCCATTAAAACTTCAAGTCAGACCATAGTTAGTAACTATATGGTCAGTCAGACAGTATACTCAATCACCACTTGATGTTTATTTATGAATTTAATTGAAATTATCTCAGCATCAATTAAAACTAACAAAAGCAAAAAWTTTTTTAAGAATGAACTTTTGTGTTTCGTAACCCATTGTCAAAAGTATTCAAAYTAATGATTCCCAAATGTGATTATTGATTRATTTTTAATCAAATAGGTATATAGGTTAATCCCTAAACCATACGAATATGTTTTTGTTTGTTTTGCCAAATCATTCGCTKCAGGGACACGTGCATTTTTTTCAATTTCATGCTATGCATATCTTTTATTTAATCATATTGAGCTATGGGATGTCCACTATAACACAACAAGGTTTTATTTGGCAAAACAATTGTACGCCTCACATTTTACACTTTACACTTGAGCGTACTGCACTTTAGGGACAGTCCATTTGATATTTGACGGGGGAAAAGGAGAATCCCTAAAAAGGTCTAGCCCGGTAACCTGTGAAAAAATATATCGATCAATATCAAACACAGCAAAAGATTATTGAGCACTTTCTAAAAAATTGTCGGACAGCGTTTGAAATAAGAGGAAAAAAATCGTGTGTTTGAAAAATCTACCAACCTACCCTCATTTTTATTTGTTATTCATTTTTGATTTAAAAAATATTTATGGCATCATCCCAAGAGCTCAAATGGCTCGTGCACGGAGACCACAGGAGCTCATCAAAAATGAAAGGGTTAGTCTCTTATTATGTCTTGTACGTTTTTCTTTGATCGGTTTCGGTATAATCGCACTTTATCAAAATCACTGGCCTACTAATAACATTTATAAAATTAATAGGAAATGCGAAGCGACGCTATTTCAGTGTGCAGCAAAGCATGATGGTAGTTGTAGTCCTCTGAGGTTTTTTGTTGTCCGCTGAAAGGTCCTGAAATGTTTTTGCGTCTTCTTGTAAAAAAACTTCTTCTAATGAGATGTTTAAGGATCTGGAATCTACTAAATGTGAGGATTATAACTACCATCATGCTTCGCTGCAAAAATGACGTTGAGCATGGGGCATTGCCTATTGAATCATCCAGCATGTATACATTTTAGGATCAGTTTCACCCCGACCATAGTTTCACGAAATTCAAGATGGCGGCTGCATTGTTAAAAGGCTTTGAATTTAGGTTAGTTTTTTATGCTAGACGAATATTTTGTTCTTCAATCACGCCCGTTGGTTCTTTTTGATCAATCAATCAATTAATCAATCAATCAATCAATCAATCAATCAATCAATCAATCAATAAATAAATAAATAAATCAAACGAATCAATCAACCAAACAATCAATCAATCAATCAACCAGACATTCAGTCATTCATACAGTCGGTCAGTCAGTCAACCATTCGTGTCTGCCAGCTTGTCGGCTGCATACATCTTTGAACGGTCATTTGGACAAGAGTTATGATCGAGACCGAGAAGAAAGCTAATTTTAACTTTAAGACTATTATAAAACATAGGAATATATATTGCACAAGTGATAAGTGTAATGGCCGGCTGAGGTATTGTAATGTTAACTATTACATGTATTTGAGTAAAATATTTGAGTAAAAACAACCAGTGGTTGCCAGTGATATCTGAATACGTCATTGCGTGGGGTGAATAGTGTTTAGCTTATACTTGATTCTATCGTACTTTTAAAATGGTTTGTGGTTTTAACCACCTAAAAATATAAAATGGTATAAATAAGGAGCTAATAGTTTCATTTTAGAATGTCCATCTCAAATTATATTATTTAGAATTTTACTAGATTATTAGTAACATAGAGAATTGATCGAAAATCTGATTGAAATTATCAGCAAGTCTTATATAACAATGATATTGGTTCCGCTGAAGTTTTTTCGAGACGTTTTTCCCTCAGACGTTTTTTTTTTCTTCTGAAAAGCAAATGCCAAACTATGAGAAATATAAGGAAAAACGTCAAGAAAAGAAAGGAAAACGTCTGGAACTTGTATCAACATCGTCGATGTTAATACAAGTCGAGAAAATTTCATTGCTGAAGAACAATCATGTGYGGAACATCCAGTAGACATGATCTATTTTGTGCCAACTCTAATACCAAAATTATTTCTTCACAAAGTTGAGTATGAGATCTATTTTTGCCAAATTAAAATCACAAGTAGAACAAAAATAGTCAATCAACTTCTCATTTCGTCGTATCGTACTTTGAACTGTAACGATATTTCTTCGTGCAAGCAAAAAGGAAAAGACCTAAATTTGAAGCAATTGTAGTCATTATTTTTAGAAAATCGACTTCTCTGAGTCTGCACCTGTTTTCAAATCAAAGGTTGATTGGCTGGTCAGGTCGTGACGTTGATCCGGCTCCCGGAACAATATTTCATAATCCGACCATTCAGAACGAGCGCAGTCGTCTCTCTACCAATAAAATTCTTTTGTTTTTGTCTCTTGATSGTCAATTAGCATCTCTGAAAAACACCCTGCTTGCATTCTGACGAACTGAAAATTAAATTTTCAGAGGGAGAGAATTCCGCGAATAGCTCTGTCGTACAAGACGGGAGACGAATTGTTTTTACTTCGTTCGATACAGTCTTTTCGTTATTAAAAACAGTGTTATTGGAGAGGCTAGAAAGATATCAGAAGCTGTAAGTATTGTTTTCAACGTTACTTGGTTGTTTTCCTGAGAGAAAAGAGAAAATCCTACGATAAAATCACTTCGAAGATAAATTATTCAAGGTTTCAGTGGACTTGGGGATTAATTATTCTGCTTGRGGAATACTCGACGGTGATTGGCTGAAAGCTACAAGACCGAGCATTTTGCCTTCTTCGATGGAACTTGCCTTCGTCATGTCGTAACAGAAACCCCAAAAAATAACAATATGGCTTTAGTATTACTCCTCAAAACGTGCACAAACCTGCACGGTAAAGCCGACAGAATCGCCAGGGTAACGTTTCGAGGTAAGTTGATCGCGAAATAGCGATATATACAGCATTTCATTACCAGCGTCACCGCTGTCAACCGTGGCGAATTTCGCGCGGCCTTCTACAAGTGAAGCAGTCATCTATCTTTACCGCGCTAGAATTGAAATATTTTTATAAATATCAGTGAATTTASCATTTCAAATGAAGMTGCTTTGTCATTTCAGTGTTTTTGAACCCTAAGGAGACGACATTTGCCGAAAATACTACTATATTAATATGTTGGACTATTTCGACTCCGATACTTCAAATTGTTTTGGTCGCTGTCAAAGTGCTTCATCAACAGATTTTTAGTCGAATATCATTGCTTGAAAATGAAGAAGTTTTATAGAAATTAGGGAAACAATCGAACACACTATGATCTTTGTCRAATACATCTTTTTATTGTGAATGTTAAACCGAATTTCAGGATTATAAACTCGCTGACTCTTCGCAATCTGTCGAACGGAATTGCTTCGATTCTTGACATGGCATGAATTTTTTTAGTTTTCAGATGAAATATTTTTTATGATAAGTTCGTTTTGTGAAAAATGATATACCAGTACCGTGAATTATATTTAAGCCTAACTATCGGAAAATATTTTCTGGGAATGTTATCCTAAATTATACGGAAAATATTGTTTAGTTATACGTATAAAAATAACTTGTCATTCTTTAGCTTCTTGTCGTTCTTTCTTGATATTTTTAATTATTCGTTACGGCATCGTTTTGATTCGTTTGGTATATATTTTTTTGTCTTGAGATATGACCAAGRCAAGTATTACGCAGGGATTTGCCATTCAATTGTTGAGTAGGCGGCAAGACGACCAGTTCCGCTAAATTTTCTTTTTCTGAAAATAACCTTACTGGTCCAGAGAATACAGAATCATATAACTTACATGGAACTATTCATATGTTTTCTGATGTATAACTATATGTCTTTCACGTAAATGTTTATTTATTTATCTGTTTAAATTTTGTTTTTTTGCTTGACTCATCTTTCAAAATCAAATCGAATTTTTATACCACAATTTAGAGAGCCCACAAAAATCTGGTTTTCTTTTTATTTGGAAGCGCAAAAACGAAAGCTTAAAACAACATATATATATATTTTTTTATTTATAGAAAGTCAAATTTGTACTCAGATTGTAAACATAAGATAACTTATGTATTTTCTTGTTATTGGAATTTTGCTTCTCAACAATGAAGGCATGTGGGAAGAAAAATGGGTATGAAATGGGATATATATATTAACAAATATGCTGATTTTTTTTATTTCTTATAATTTTTTGACTTTCATATATAAATTATTACAGTGAAAACGTCTGCTGTATTTTATTGGTCAAAAGTCATTGAAAATTGTTTTTATCCATACTGAATAAATTAGCATTTCACAAATGTAAAATATAATTCTGATTATAACTTAATTTGAAAGTGTTAAAAAATGTTCATGAAATTATTTAATTAGATAGCATTCTTATAAAATGATAAAATTAGAAATTCTTTCTTTTTTTCTGAATCAAGCTTTATGTTATGTAACTGTAATCTGTGCAATTAAAAAAWTCAATCAAATTTCTCTGTGTTATTTTTAAGTGAATATATTAAGTACTRTTCCAGTGTTGCAATATATATGATCATGCTCATATATTGACTTTGCTTACTATGAAAATTACACTTTGTTTAGTATTTAACTTTAGACAACCAATCATTTCCAGTCTGTATTGTTCACCTCAACCAACATCATCTGTCCCTGTGGTTTATATTTGCTTAGCAATATTTGCGTTGACAAATTCTTCAATAAAAAAATCAGTTTTTTAACACTTCACAAGGTTTATATTTTAAAAGCAGTTATTTATTTATTGAAGTAAGTTTTTTTTAGACTAAGATACATGGTATCTGACTATATACTGAGAAATACATCTATACATGATTAAAAGTGTTATCTATATAATTTTTTATTAGTATTTTTTTAAAATATCATCATAAAAGAATGAATCAAAAATAAAATATAAAATAAGTAAAAAATATGTATAATAACATAAAAAACAGTCTTGTATAATACATATATGGTAATAACATTATGATGATGCCATCCTTCATGCAGTGTCAAACAGCATATTTTGTTTTGAAAAGATGCAAAATGACAGAATGACAAATAGACAAATCAATCTCCATTTTATATCATTTTTTTCAAATTTTTCCTTTTCTCCTTTTTAGGGATCACATATCAAACAAGTGTGGTTGAGCATTCCTCAGAAGCAGATTGGGATGAGGTAATCTTGCAATCAAATTCTCCTTGTTTATATTTTTCATTACATTTCATTACACCATTTCCTTTTCCACAGGACTTTGAGTGGCCCCTGGCGAGTCCTCTGGACCCAAGCGAATTCATCGAAATTGAAGTTTACACATTTAACAAAATATTTCAAAACAGGTACAGAATATTGTCGATATTATCTTCAATTCTGCTGCACCATGATGTGGAATCTAAAGTGTTCCTAAGGTTTCTTGGATTTCAGACCCTGCATTCTGGATTGTATGAAATATTTGATTCGGAATGCAAAGCATGCTAGACTATTCAATTTTTTTTTTTGGTGTCAGTGACTTGTTCACATTTATCAAAAATTTGAAGTCACTAATGGGATCCTTGATTCCTTTGTTTTTTGGACCCATTTCCATTGTCACAGCTTCCTGAAGTGTCTGGAYTTCCAGAGCCATAATTTTGTTGCATTCTAGATTCCATGTCATGTCTACTRTCTAATGTTACCCTTCACATTGATTTGAGTATCAGTGCCGGATCCAGGATTTTTCAAAGGGTTGTTCCTCTTTGTTTTCGCATTTTGCTATAACGAAACTTTTTTACTGTGCCTCTCAAACTGTAGCAAATGTAGTGTGAATGTATTGAATAAAAATTCATTGTACGATGCGTTTTCATTTTATTTCATTTATCATTTAGTTTATTTTTTTTATGCTTGAGGGGGGTTCCTAGGAATTCATGGAACCCCCCCTGGATCCAACACTGACTATATCCAAGGAGATTTCCATGTTTCAAGTAGATTATTTTAATGCCATTTTTTACAAGGAGATGTATCAGTTTATAAACTAAATGTAAATGTATGAACAACATAAATGTTAAATTTCATGAAATTGAATGTGCATTTTCAACTTCAAACGGAACCATTTCTAAAACTAATATTTATAAAATCACTTTCACACCTTGCACGTTTTGAGAATCTTTTCTGAACCCCTAAATACTAATATTAACTACAGCAATATAGTGAACAACAATGATTCCTTAACTTTCTGTTTTGSCTGTTATCTCTAGACTTGTTGGAGTGTTCAGGATGGTTTTACAAAGACTTATACAAGAAGGACATCTTGAAGTAGAAGAAAGCTTAGTAGATATGAACAACACAGTTCTCAAGGTATTATCACAACACTAACAGTAATGAGGTCCATAAGAGTGATTTTAATAGAAACTCAACTCTAGAAGCTTCTAGACCATCAGTCAAATCATCCTTTGCTGTGGTTGGTTGATTTTTGTGATGATTGATGTCTTCTTTAAAGTGAATATATTATTCTGAGAGTCCAAAGTGTCTTGCATAAAGTAGTTTTGGTTGATGTAACATTAAACTCATAATATTGAGTGTTGAGTTATAAAAATAYGCGTTACAAAAATGAATTACAAAAATGTCTACATTGAATTACTCTTCAGTAAAGATAGTTTTTGTAATGTGATTTTATTATCTCAAGAGTCCTTTCATTTAGTAGTGTAATTTGAAGAAAGAATGAGACTTATATATACAGACAGAATATGAATTATTGGCGGGAAAAATGACGCAATAATGACGTAAACGACAGCAGTTTTAGTRGCTATGGTTTTGAGGGAAATATAAGACGATAAGATTGTCGTTTTGGGTTGACATCGTCAAAAACTAAAAACTGAATTAAAAACGTTTCTCCCTGATTTTTTTGGAGGGGTGAGAAACGGGTGTACACAGGCTAAGACAGGAAGGAAGAAAGGAATAAACTAGTAAAGTTTGACTGACTGAATTGATACTACAAAGCATAAACAAAACAATGAGAATGCGGCAACAAGTGAAAAGATTTTTTTACAACTATTGCATTTAAAATGTATGTTACCTCAGACCCCTAGTCAACGTTGCCCTTTGATGTAATGCATATATGGCCGCGCTTTCAAGCAAYATTGACAAAGAGGGCGGAGGGAGGCCTCACTGAAATAATATTATTAGGCTCATATATTTTGTACCATGTTGTTGCTATCAAATACACTACTTTGCCTATCAACTATCGCCCTTGTCTAAATACCATTTCGTTCCCAGGCCACTGTAGCACTAGAATTGCAGTACTCACCCCCTGAAGGAAATGTCTCACAATGGGTCAATAACAACGGTATGTCCGACGCCCTGGACGCTCCTCTCATTCAAGACTACGATAGAGARMGACGGTCATCTTTCGTCAGTCTTAACAGCAAAACACACAAGAGCCAATCAATGGTTAGYCTCCAGTCTTCTGGAAGTCACAGACGGTCTGACAGAAAAGAGTCTATGCCGACGTCCTTCGGCGGCGGGAAATATATCGGTGAAGGGAACATGACGAGTATGGCGTCTCCATTCGACGCCATGTTAGACGGACAAAGAGGACTTGGAAGTCGGCGTGGTTCACAGAATAGTGTACATAGTGATAGAAGTATGAGTACAAAATGCAGYCATCAGCATCCTCGTGTACGAGCTGATAAGAAGATGTCTGTTAGAGAACAAGATTACCAGGTAATCTGCCCACCGGGGTTTTGTTAATGGGTTAATCCCCGGGACTACTTTAATACTCTCCGAGTTTTACGACACTGCATACTTACCGGAGTTTTGCTAGTCAGTATCAATCTCTGGGACTTTTTAATTAACTATGAGCACTATAGTACCGCGTTTACCTACCGGTGTTTTGTCGATTTTTGGCGGTCTCCCGGGATTTTTTAATTTCCCCCTGAGTATCACTATACTTTATACCGGAGTTTTGTCAATTTATGACCTTGAGGTTTATGACAAGTGTATGGTCAAGTGTTAAATCAAGCATTTATCTCCTATAGATACAAATCCGTATCCATGAAGCCCGACAGTTAGCCGGTACGCAGATCGACCCGGTGTGTACGGTTAGTGTAGGTAACCAGAAAAAGAGCACTACTATCAAGGAACAAACTAACTGTCCATTCTATGATGAGGTACGTGTTTAATGTTCATCTTTTCATTATGTACCTTGCATGTTCTAATTTTCACATTTTTCATCTTTAGTTCTTTGTCTTTGACTTCAAAATGCCGCCAATGATGCTATTCGATAAAATCATCAACTTCCAGGTATGAAATTTACCCTTTACTCACTTATCAAAAAGGAAAAAAGTGAAAATAAAACGGGAGAATAGAGATTGGGTACAAAAGTGATAATGTGTGATTGTTATCGCATTGATTATTATCATGCTGTTGATGATGATAATAACGATGATGATGATGACAAGTGTTTATACTTATGTCTTTTTTTCAGTTTTTCACAGGAAGAAATCTTGTGTCCCAAGGTGCACTAATCGGTGCCTTCAAGGTTTGTATGAATCCTTTTTTCCTCCTGTTTTTCAACTGAGTCAGTTATTTTTGTATTCATTCATTTTTCCTTTTATACTCTTAAAAGGTTTCCTTTT